GGAACTTGATTTAAATCATATCAAAGACGGAGTACATCGAGATGAAATACTAAACTTAGTACCGAATTATAATCCAAATAAAATAAAAACATCTGCTCTCAAGATAAGGATAGTGTTGACAGATCAACTTCCAATCCGTGGCGTGAAATTGATAAACAGATTTCGGATTTCAAAACATACTTTCGCTTTGTAGATACAAATTACATATTAGTAAATATATATTGGAAATTCTATTTGACATAATCTTTCTAATCTATCATAATCTAATAATGACGTTTCTGCCCCCCCCCCATCTGCCGCAGAGCAGCGTGAAATTGATAAACAGATTTCGGATTTCAAAACATACTTTCGCTTTGTAGTAAATATATATCGGAAATTCTATTTGACATAATCGAAAGTTCAAGCTTACTTTTATAAAATTGCTCTAACAGTCTGCAAAAAATAATAAGTCGGATCCAATTCGAAGATTAAGGAACAACGCAATCTGCAACATTAACTGAATTAGATAACTTTAGCTTAGCGTATAACTCCGTTACACATTAAAAGCGCATGCGCACAAACATATTCGCAGCCGTAAGGGTCTTACGCGCTCTCGTAAACGCCTGTGCGCATGCGTGAACGCGACGCATGCGCAGAAAGTTCGCAGCTTTGAGGTCCGGATTATAGATCATTCCGGATTATGGGTGTCCGAATTAACGACTTTTGACTGTAGTGAAGAAAGAGTTGAAGAAATTTTGCAAAGATTTTGGGAAGTTGAATCCATTGAAAATATCGAGGATGCTTTGAGTGAAGAAGAAAAATACTGTGAAGAACATTTCAAGCGTACTCACTATAGACAAAATGATGGAAGATACGTAGTTCAGTTACCCATAAGGGAAGGTATAGAATTAGGAGAATCGAAAACGCTGGCTGAGAAAAGATTGCATCAAGTGTGGAATCGACTAGAAAGTGATTCGAATATGAAAACATTATATAAGAATTTTATTAAAGAATATAAGGATCTAAATCACATGGAAGAAGTTCAAGAAATTGAAACATCGACTTGCAATTATCTTAGTCATCATGGAGTTTATTGGCCAGAAAAAGCCTCTACCAAGCTTCGCGTTGTGTTTAATGCATCTGCGATTACTAGCAATGGAAAGTCACTGAACTCAATATTAATGAAAGGGCGAATACCTCAAGAAGATTTATTTTCTATTATTATTAGATTTCGAAAGTACAACTATGCATTAGGAGCTGATGTTCAGAAGATGTACAGACAAATACTTATTGAACCATCTCAACGAAACCTGCAGTTGATCTTGTGGAAAGGAATCAGTTGGTAGTCCTGTGCAAGACTTATCGTCTAAGGACTGTAACATACGAACGGAACAGCAAGTGCACCATTCCTTGCAACAAGGGTCCTGAAGCAGTTAGCAATGGATGAAGCGACAGACTTTCCTCATGCCTCAAGAGCCATACTGAAGGACTGTTACGTGGACGACATTATTACTGGAGCTAATACGCATGCAAGAAGCCAAGGAGTTGCAGACACAGTTAACCTGTCTTCTAGAACGTGGTGGAATGCAGTTACACAAATGGTGTTCAAATAATCCAGAATTATTGAAGAATAAAGAAAGTGTAACTCAGGATTACTCCTTTCAAGTTACGGATAAGCCTCAGATTACAAAGGCCTTAGGAATGTCATGGAATACGTCTACAGACTGTTTTTCTTACGATTTAAAGATACTTGACATTGAAGAAACAGGAACGAAAAGAGATGTCTTATCAACGATAGGTCGCCTCTTTGATCCGTTAGGTTTAATTGGACCTGTTACGACAAAAGCTAAAATATTTCTACAAAACCTTTGGCTTTTAAAATTAAATTGGAATACACCTCTTCCTAAAAATTACTTTGAAGAATGGAAGGAATTTCTGCATAGTCTCAAATTAGTCAACGATTATCGCATCCCCAGATTTGTTCTAACCAATGGATTACAACAAATAGAAATTATAGGATTCTGTGATGCTAGTCAGAAAGCCTATGGTGCTGCAATTTATGTGAAATATTTGTCATCTTCAAATGAATGTTCATCAAGACTTCTGTGCAGCAAGTCTCATGTGTCACCTCTGAAGTCAATTACCATTCCTCGTTTGGAACTTTGTGGTGCAGTTCTGTTGGTAAAACTAATGAAAAGAATATTAGAGGCCATTCAGCTACCTATTGTCAAGGTGTATTACTTCATTGATTCGTCAATAGTATTAGCATGGATTAAGAAGGAACCTTATCAACTAAAGACATTTGTTGCTAATAGAGTATCTGTTATTCGAAGCATGACTGCGGTTCATGAGTGGTACCATGTTAGCACTCACAATAATCCAGCTGATTTGATAACGTGGAGCTGAAACTAAAGATCTTCTTCATAATGATTTATGGTGGTATGGACCAACTTTCTTGACTAAGGAGAGGTTTTTGACTAATCCTTGTGAATTAATTTCATCTGATATGGATAATGTGGAATACGTCAAAGAACTCAAACTTAAGGATAATGACTTAGTTAATCTAAATGTGAACTCTAATTCCCTTGTTTTAGATCATATTCTTAACATTAGTAATAACTATATTCGTATTATTCGTGTGTTAAGTTTTGTTTGTAGATTTATAGACAATTGTAAGGGGAAAAATTTAATAGGTTCTCTAACAGTTAAAGAACTGGATGACGCTGAGAAAATCATGATCAGGTATGTACAGTTCCAACATTTTAGCAAGGATATTCTATCTTTAAAGAATAAGAATTGTGTTTCTTCCAAAAGTAAGTTAAAATTTTTATGTCCATTTCTAGATAATGATTCTCTTCTGAGAGTAGGAGGCAGACTTGCCAATAGTAATCTTAATTACAACCAAAAGTTTCCTTATGTAATGCCAAAAGATCATGTAGTTACTAGATTAATTTTTCAGTATTACCATGTTAAATATTTACATCTTGGTGCTCAAGCACTATTGCATCAGGTTTGTAGTAAATTTTGGGTTATTAATGGTCGAGATATAGCTCGAAAGGTTGTACATGAATGTGTAACATGTTTTAAGGTTAAACCAATTGTATGTGAACAACTTATGGGAAATTTACCTAGTGAGAGAGTTAATCCAGGTTTTGTATTTAATACGTGTGGACTCGACTTTTCTGGTCCATTCCTCATCAAGTATAAAAATCAGAGAAAGGGTAATTATGCAAAAGGTGCATAATTACGTTGATTTTTATACTTGATGAATTATATTCATTTTGTTTAGCTACTAAAGCAATACATTTAGAGGTAGTAACTGATTTAACCACAGATTCATTACTTGCTACTATTAAAAGATTTATTGCTAGACGTGGAAAATGTAATACCATAATGTCAGATAACGGTACTAATATGGTTGGTGCAAAATCAGAACTGAAAAAAGTGCATAGCTTAGTCCTTAAATCTAATTCTGATATAGCAGATTTCTTAACATCTGAAGGTATAAATTGGAAACTAATTCCACCTAGAGCACCAAATTTCGGTGGTTTATGGGAAGCTGGTATTAAGTCATTTAAATACCATCTTCAGCGTACAATTAGCAGTTATAAATTAACTTTAGAAGAATTTTGGACTATTGTCACACAGATTGAAGGTATTCTCAATTCTCGTCCAATTTTACCCTTATCAACAGATGCAAATGACTTTGAAGCCTTAACGCCAGGTCATTTTTTAATTGGACGTTCCATTACTTCATATCCTGAACCAGATTTGTCTCATCTTACAGATAATAGACTTTCTAAATGGCAAGTTATTACCAAATTCATTCAAGTTATTTGGAAACGTTGGCAAACTGATTATTTAAATCATCTACAACAACGCACCAAATGGTTTATTAATAAAGAAAATTTAAAGGCAGGTATGTTAGTTGTGTTAAAGGAAGATAATCTTCCCCCATTTAAATGGTCTTTAGCTAGAATTCTAGAAGTTTTACCTGGTAAAGATAATAAGGCCAGAGTTGTTAAAGTGAAAACATCAAATGGTGTGTATATTCGATGTATTAGTAAAATTTGTTTATTACCTATCCAGGATAATAATGCTTAGTTTACATTATTATGTTCTTATTGAAAATTGTGCTTTACATTAAAATGTAACTGTTTAAGAATAAGTTCGATTGTAGCATAGTGAATGTTTATGTTTTTAAAATGTTGCATTATTTATATTATATTCATGATGAAATTATCTATCATCTTTCATATTGTAGTGTAGAATTAGTTTTTCTTGAATTGTTAAATTGTATGTTTGTTTGTAATTTACATGTTGAAATTTGTAATTTCAACGGGCGGCGGCATGTTAAGTTAGAATACAGCGCCACCTATTGGATAGTAGAGAAACTCTCACTTGGCCATTTGGATTCAGGTAAGCAACATGCCAGAGCATGTATTAGATCTGAATAGTTAATTACTGTAAATAAATTAGTTAGTACTTTTGCTATACAGTCCATTTATTAATTTAGAATCACAGTACAAGTGTCATTTAAAATATTCAGATAATTTCCATTTATCAAATTCCCACCATAATGGTTATGATTTAAAAATTAAGAAAATTCTTATTCCATAAAAATTTCATTCACATTACATTTCAAAAAAAAATTTCACATCAGTATGTTTGGTTAACATACATACATGCATAATCACAGGGCCATTCTTAGCAGGGATGCAGAGCGTAAAAATATACAGGCAGCCATACTCTTGCAATACCATGCCTAATATTTTAAATTTATTGTAATAATTCCCTTATCATAATTGACTCTTTATACAGTTTGTTATATGCAAGTACCTAGTGAGTATGAAATGAAAATTTTATTAATCATTGAGCATTTTTTTTTTTTTTTTTTTTTTTTTAAATTTGGAGGTGGCAATTTTAGGAAAATACGTGAGCAGCCGATGGCCTAGGAATAGCCCTGCAAATCATTTAGTTAAAACTGTAAGAAAAAAACAGTATTACTGAATTATACACACCTAAGAAGAAACATGATGATTCTGCAAGACTGGCTACTAAAATTGATGGTGCTACTTGCCCTACAATTCGTCCAATATGTTGTTCTCGAGTTTCAAATGCTCTTCGCTTAGATCGCTTTAAAATAAAATTTCATACAATTTCAGCAATAAAATTGATAGAAATCAACATTGAATAATTTTAAAAATGTAAAGTTTAATATGTACACTATTTACAAATCATTGATTGTAGCCTTCAGTGGTTCAGCTTTATATTAATCAGACAAGATTGACAAAATTTAACAATCAAAGAATCAAATCTTTTAACAGGCACTTGATCGTTCTTAGTAGTCTAGTGTGTGAAGTCAAACATGTAGCTACCTACAGATCTGCTAGTGGTGAGTCTACAGAAAGTCAAAAGGCATGTCACATTTAACACAAAACACTGACACCATCTATTAATTAATCAAAACAATTTCCACAAAAATAGTAGATAAATATTTGAAAAATGTGGAAGTGTCAGAATAGAAATGCAATTCACAGCTAAATTATCATCCACTCCTTTAAGGCTTTCCGGAAAGCATTTTCCTTCAATAAATGTGAATAAAAAAGGAAAAAATGCAGAAGAAAGTGTTTGCTTACAGACCATATGAAATCAGTGGTTACTTTTGTGAACTCTGTAATGGGGACTTCGCATTTATCACTGTTTTAAAGACAACCACACACTGTCTGCTTTCTGTACCATTTATGCCTATAATTTTTACATATATTTTCTTATTTTTTAGATTTGCTAAAGTTTCGCACAATATTTAATCAAGATAAGTGAAATATTTTATTTGTTGCATGTAGATTCTAATGAAATTTTGTGCAGAATATCTTGATATTCTGTACTTACGATTACATTATTTTAAGTTAAACTGCAAAAAATAAATAAATAAATAAATAAAGCAACTGACCAAAAAATTTTTTTTAATAAATATTTTTGAAAAGTTAGGATCAGCAATGTGAAATACTTCATCATCTGAGAGACAACTTCCCACGAAGAGTTGTGCCGAGTAGCACGCCACCACATAGAATGGGTTTAGGACTGGTGCATACATAATACATCTGGCATAAAAGGGTTACAAAGAAGCATTATTTTATTTCTATAGCTGCCATGAAAGCCCATTTTTGCTAAGAAAATTTAATGCAGTGTATCGTCATTAATAGTGGATCGAAACTTTGCTCTTGTCTTAGTAATAACATTGAAAACCTTGTTGCACTTTACACTGCTTAACTTTAATTGTTAAGAATGACAGCATTATCTTCTTAGATAGCTTGTTCACTACGTTCCATCAATACCTTTTCTAATTAAAGAATTTTCTAATTAAATTACAACCTATATTAATCATTAAAAAAAATTCTTAAAAATATATAAAACTCACACTGCTTTGTAACAATAGAAATGCAAAGGCTAGGCCTTTCTTTGTGCTCATCGCCTGCTGTGCGCAAGATAACCTGCAGTTGCTCTTGACATTCATTAGAGAATTTAAACATGGTATTTTCAAATGCATATAATCTCTTATGTATAATGATAGCTTGCTGTTATAAAATGGCATTTTTTATTAATAGGCGATCTAGAGAAAGATTATGCAATTTCGAATGCTAGAAGTCCTTTTTCTGGGTGCAAAAATAAATATTACAATAATGTACATAAAAGTCCTGAGAATAACAGAAACTTGGAAGATATATGTTAAAAATCAAGTTGGGGAGAGTACCATAAAAATCAAGAATTTCTTATCAAAACTAAACTGGGAGAGCTGGCACATTTTCTAACAATTAGCAAAAGTCAGCCATTGCTGAATGTTCATTTTAAATTAATTTGCTTTTGAAATCAACTTTGTTAATTTCTGTTATTATGCATTTTAGAAAATAGATTAGGAAATACAATTTTTTTAGAATGATTGATTAGCATATAAAATAGCTTAACTGAGAAGATTTCCTAGTTATTTTCCATTTCATGAATACAGTAGAAATTTTTAATTTTCTGACTTGAAATTCCTCTCATTATCATAATAACCATAAGTAAATTTCATAATAACATTAATATGTACAAAAATTACACACAAATATCGAACTATGATAAAGCTAAAAGGAAATGTCAAAAGCATCAGAAAGCTGGGAGATGGGGAGAAAAAAAAAGCTTTTTTTCCTTAAGCTAATTCTTAGTGTACATTAAGAGAAAATTCTTGGGGAACCACAAAAAGTTTTGAAGTGCACTTCTGTTTATTTTTCAATTATATACACTTATCTACAATTATATGTTTATTTATAATTAGCAATTTAATGGTAATAATTACATGATTATTTATGATTTCTTCATTATTATATGATTTTCTTTTACGAATCTCTTTTTACTCTTCTTTCCTTCATAATAACTTTATATAAGAGGGTCACAGTAAATCTCAACTATATATGCATGCAAGTCAGTATGTTAAAAGTATAAGAAATACTGTTTGTTGGTTATTTATGCATTTTCTTTATTTTGTGTTATTATTCTTAATACTTTTTAATAATAAATTAACTTTAAATAGTAGCTAATTAATACCTGAAAGTTCAGTTGCTAATTCTTAAATGCAAAAATACCTACATATAAAAAACATTTTTATTATTTGTATATTTTAATAGAAAAATAATACATTAATCAGTTTTCCTACAAATACTAACAACGGTGGCAGATTTTGCTTTCATTAAGAAAGAAATTCTTTGGTGTTAGCCTGCTTTTGCTAATAAAAATTTTTCCAGTGTGGCATTATTAATATTAGTTCCTGTTTTAGTTGCAACACTGAAAGTACTCTCATACTCTGCATCGCCAATATTACTCTAGAGTTCACTGTAATTTAAAATTCCATCAGCACCTTTCAGTTTTCTTATTAAACTAACTCCACTAGAGTTTCAAGCCTTGCTACTTTTATAACTTTATCCAAATTTATCTAAGTAGGTTAACTTTAAATAGAGCATTTTATCTTAACATCAAAAGCAGCTACTTCTTCCTTAAAAAATATTAGAATTAGGTTTCATAGGTTTTAAATTGAAGTACTCTTCGAGAGGAACATTTTGGCTATCTCGGATTTTTAAAATTCGTGAAAGCATTTTCTGTATCGAATTTCCGTTAAATTTTTGGGCCATTTTTGATACCTTTGAAAATTTGCAAAAAAAAAAAAAAAAAAAAAAAAAAAAAAAAAAAAAAAAAAAAAAAAAACTATCGAAGCTAGGACCACCCAATTTGGAGGGATTGTAGGTCTTACTGGGGCGCCCGTTTACACCGAAATTTGGGACATTGAGCCGTTTCGGAGATATTTGCGAGTTTGGGTTTTACCATTGGGTTTCATAGCACAAGGACAATAAATATTTCTCTAAAGGTAACCAGTGTGTACATACTTGTGTCAATTTCTTTCTTATTTCAGTGTTATGCAATTGTTGGAATTATTTCAATTTTCCTTTTCTTTTAGAACTCTTTTTAAGCTAATAATAAATATCTACATTAAATGGCAAAGAAGTTGCCACCTTTTCAGCTGTTATTTAAGACACGACAAGTGCAGCTCATAATTTGAAAATCTGAGTTTCCTTTTATTAAGCTGCCTGTAACACCAATCTTCACGCCTACCATTACTGGTGCATTGTAGACACCAAGTGCTAGAGGAATTGTATTTAATTTTAAAGTTTTAATAATTAGGTGTGCTATATTCAAGCCTGTTAATCTGCTTCAAAAGTGTAGACAGAAAGTAAACTACACTCAATTTCTGAAGACTCTAGATTAAAGAAAGGAACAACAATTGGATACAGTTTTGCCTTGGTATTATTGCTTTCATCCATATAGGCAGAGTGGAGCTGTTTTAATGCAATCAATAACTGAAGACTTATATTTCCTACTCATTTCTTTAACAAACGCAGCCATTTTGTCCTTGCACTTGAGTATTAGCAATGTTGCTATCGAGAAGCATTTTTTTAAATACAGCTGTTGCATGATCAAATGCATTCCAGTGGTTGAGCTCCAGCAAAAAAGTAGAAAACAGCCATGCTGCATTAATAACTTTTAATCCTTTATTTCCATATAAAAATTTAATTCTTCATTTTCTTCAATGCAACTCACTTTGTCCTTGTATTCTTGTATACGCACATGTTCAAAAACATCAGCCTTTCTAATGAGCAAAACTGAAAAATTGCAGTGATAAATGTGACACACCGCATTACATTTCCTTGACAAAATAATTAAAAGTCATCTGTCTCTCATTACCGAGAAGTGTATTGTATGTGTGTGGAGGGGGATGGGACAGTTCTATATCTCCTATTCTACTGGGCTGATTGATAAAATTCAACTTGCATTTTTCATATCTTGAAAGCACAGCTTAACCTATGTATTACACTTATATACAGCATTGTTCTGCTGTAGGTATTTTGACAAAAAATCGGACTTTTTCTGAAATGACATGCAATTATTTTTTTTCCATATTTCTATTCTACAACTCAAATTATACCAAACTGCCAAGTTTTATAAAAGTTGCAGGAGTAGTTTTTTAAAAATTAGTTCTCAAAATTTTAACTTCTCAGTGTTAATTGAATTTGATATATATTTATTAATATCTCTTTTTTTATTAAACTTACTTGATTACTTGATTCTTCCTTTCATATTTCACAATTTAAGTTCATTCCAAATAAAATTCACGAATTTCTTATGATTTTTTTTTATTTGTATTTTTTAAATAATTTTTATAAATTTTTCGAAAACAATTTTGAATCATAACCTATAAAACTTTTGACATTATCTTAAAGTAGATATATTTCTAAGCTCACCTGCACAAAATTAGAGTTTTTTGCTGTATTTATTATAGGCAATAATAAAGAAAATTAGGCATATGCATTTTGTAAAAATTATTTGAAAGTATGTATGATGACTTTTTCCCCAACTCGTACACAAAGAAAAAAGGCAAAAGAAAATAGGTTACTATAAACAGGGTTCGTACACATGTTTGCACACAGAAACTAAAGTACTTTTAAGGACTTTCAAGGGCCATTAACGAAATAAATTAAGGACCTATAGGCAAATGGAAGCTGAATTAAATTCAGTTAAAGATATTATCTATGCTTGAAATTCACTATTGTAATACCATCTTAAGAATAAAAATAGATCCTTAAGTGGGATGCATTATTATTACACATAATTATAAAGCAAAATTCAGAATAAAATCAACTTTCAATAAAATTTATCAAGTAGGATTGAATATTTTACACTTAAAATAGTTACACATATTTGAAAGAAGATTAGTGACATTTTATTACGTTTTACTAACGATTAGCTTCATACTGATTTTTTCTTTTTGTCTCATTTTATCACATTCCTCAGACTAGAGGTTTAGTAAATAGTAGGTAGATTTTATGTCAAATGGCATAGGTTAAAATGAGATGTAAAATCATAATCAGCATGATTAGTAACAGAAGATTGGTTATTGCCACCACTGCTTCTTCCCTAGAGAAAGACGTGCTAATCAGAACAAATCTGAAAGCCTGATGTAAATACGGTTTGCAGGGCTTGAAAGTTAGTTGTGCTCTCTTTGATGCAGATAGTGCTGCAGCTTCATGTCTTCTGGGGTTCTAAACCAGTTAATATAATTTAGAGTACCCATAAGCCACTAAAGCACCAGTGGTGACAAGTTATTTTGTATTATTTTAGTCTCACTAAATGCAAACAATAAGTTTTAGATAATTTTTTTTTCCCATTTTTGTGCTGTATCTTATAATCAGGGTAAAGGTTAATGAAAGGCAATAAATCGCTTTAATATGCAGAGGTAATTTTAAGGCTCAGCAGTTAGTTACAAATAATTAAATTAGGTAGTTAGATACTCTTAAGTTATTATACGATACTCTTAAGTTATTATACTTAAGAGTAAAAACTTTTAGTTGGCCACTAAAAGTTTTATTTATGTTTTTAAAATGTTTGTTAAAAAAGCACCATTAAAATCCCAATCTAATAATATTTCACTGTTTAAAATACAAGTAATTTATAGCATTGATTCTTAAACAATATTAGGATAATTACACATTAAAATCCATAAAATATTTCTGTTTTGTTACAACACACAAAATACTTATACATCTTTTTAATGTGAAGCCTTCCCAGACATTTTAGCTAAAAATTAGATATTGGTTTAGAACAATGAAATCAGAAATTAAAAACAATGTTCCCACTAGTTTCTGCATGCTTTATCGTCTGACTTGGTCTCTCAGCAATGTACCAATGAGGTTTTGCATGATCTGGTGTAAGTTAAATAGTCCAAAACACCTGACAGAAACGAAGCAAATTATCACTATGTCTGAAAGTAAGTCAGATAAAGGTTTAAATAAACCTCTTATTTGAAAAAAAAAAAAAAAAAAAAAAAAAGACACATTCTTATGCTAACAACATAAACTACAGCTCGTGTTGATATAGTTAAACAGAAACAGTCAAATTCAGACTAAAATGTGGACTAGCAGTCAATTAAATTTTTAGCTCCATCATCATAACAAAATCCAACACAACGATAACGCAAAGGTGAATAATTGTGAATTATCAGAGCTGGCAGGAACTAATGCAGCGTGCACATCAAAGACAGAAACACACTCTGTTTTACAATCCAAAAACCTCAGTTTAGAAACTATGTAACTGATTTTTGCATTCTGGCGAGGAAAAGGAAAGGAGATGTTAGAGTAAAGACTGAAATTATAAACAACTGTTTAATTTATAGTACAATAACTGTACATATCTTTGAAGAATATTTTTTTTCTCTTTATGTATTCAGTTTCATTCTTCAATACATGTTATCTTCAATTTAATTAAAGATTTCTTTTATTCTAAAAACTTAATGCACAGAAAAAGCTGCTAATTTTATTTCGTTAGTAATATGAACATTCAGAATAAATATGAAATGATGCATGGTAAGGCCCACTTATGGGGCCAACGTGGCCGAATTTTTAGAATTCAGTGACCCTCCGAGCAAAAAATCTAGAAATAGCAAAACTGTGAGAATTTAGGACAGGCAATAAGAGCAAAATATACGAAGGCACTAGATAGCAGAAGTAGCAGAACTTAGCATTCACATAGATTGCATCAGGTGGGAAAATGCCTAGCACCAGCCCTGTGTAGGGTGAATTGAGACATATAAGATGAATCTTTTAAATTGTCAGTTTTCAATTTCTTTATAAATAGAAAAATTACGTTCTATCAATGTCTGTCCATGTGATAAGATTACAAGCATTTTTGATATTTTTCACGCATTTGTCTGGTGAAAAGGAGAGAAAATAGAGGAAAGAAAAACATTTTAAAAAAAGACGTCTAGTGCCAGAAGTAAAACATTTAAATATTATGTTCAAATTGTTCTCCCAAAAATTCTCCAAAAATAGGAAATTCTCCACAAACTTTCTGTAAAATACACCCTTTACGTGTTAATACCAGGAAGACATTTTTCATTTTGTCACATTTTCTGGAATATTTTAGAATCTTAAGTCTATAAATCTTGCCTTCAAATCCTTATATACTTTCCAAGTTGCAATGCCTAAAACCCTAAAGAAAAATCAGCCCTACCAATACTATAACAGCGAAATGCCAGAAATATTTTGAGGAGGGAAAAAAAAAAAAAAAAAAAAAAAAGAGGAAAAGTGTGTAAAATCATTTTATGCAGAAAAGTGATGCATATTCTGAGATAACAAAATTAAAAAGAAGACATTTTTAATTAATTACATAACTATTTTGCTTTTGCTAATGAATTGCTTTCGTAAACTAAACTTTGTAGCTTATTTATTACCTTTGTTTATTTTTCAGATTAAAAATATTGCATAATAAGGTCAGCCGAAACGGAAAGTAATGTCACATTTTATAAGTATTTACAGTAAAAAAATAAAAATGTTTTCATTTTAATGTTACTTCCTTAAACATAATTCAATATATACTACCATTATTTTAGTTCAATTTATTCAAGTGTTATAATGTTCTTAAAAAGAATCCTTCGAAAAATTCCTAGATCTTCGAATTAAAAAGTTTTCTTATAGAAAAACTGATCTTAAAATCTCGGCAAAATTGTTGATAAGTCACCAAATTTTAGAAACCCTTTAATAAAAGGAATTCACATCTTCGAAAGAGAAAAGTTGTTCAAGAGCTCTTCATTAAGAAAAAAATGAAATAATTTTCAAAATGGTTATGTTTCACCTTTTGCCCAGAATTTCGAGTATCCCAATGTTTGTATTAGAAATAGGAAAAAATTATAACCCATTTTAAAAAGATAACCATATTTATTAGTGAATCGGCAAAAATATTCCTGCAAAATGCTAATTCACACTCAAAATGGCAGTTGCAAAAACACAGAAATTTCAGATGATTAAAATTAAGGACATTCTGCCGATTTCAGCCGAAATTAAGGACTTTTAAGGACCAAAATTCAATTCCAAAAAAATTAAGAACTTTTAAGGATCGTACGAACCCTTTATAAATAAATTAGAGTTCGCCAAGTGAATTATTCTTGGCACAAACTGAAAAAAATTTGCCAAGATAAATTTTTAAATTTCTCCATAAATGTCTCACCAAAAATTACAAAATTTAATATTTAGGCATAATTTGAGTTGTAGAATTGAAATATGGAAAAAACTGGTATGTTATTTCAGAAAAAGTCCGATTTTCTGTCATAATACCCATGTTAGAACAATGCTATATATAAATATAATACATAACTTAAGTCGCATTTTCGATACGCGGAAAACGCACTTTGAATTTCGTCAATCGGCCCAGTAGAATGGGAGATACAGAACTGTCCCTTTTTTTTTTTTTTTTTTTTTTTTGCATTATGCATGAGTCTTTTACGTTTTTTGCAAACTTAACTGAGACAAATGAGCCCAATTTCTTAAGAGTCTTTCTTAAGAGTCTAAGTACATGAAACTCAGCGGTGAGACTAACAAAATAACAACTTCGATCTTGCTTTGTGTTTATCGACTAATGTATGCCAAATGATCTGCAGTGGCATCCAATGCTGACTGGAGAACTAGAACATGATGTTTTCAGACACGTGTTCTTGAACAAAAAGCAGAAGTACGCCATAATGTTTTACTGATAAATGACTGGTTTTTCTTTTATATGCAATCTAAAGAAGAACTAAGTGCTTTCAGATGCCAAAAATCCCTTTTTTGAATGCCTATAATGAAGTACTAAGCTAGGGCTACATAAAAATCGTGAGACATTTTAAGAATAGGAGAAAGTTGGGAAAACTATGTTGTTAATCGTGTTGGCAGACATGCGGTCAGAAAATCGAGAGTCTCTTCCCTAAATTGGGAGAGTTAGTAACTCTGTTCTCAAAAAGGTCATGAAATATAAGAATTGGCAACATTATAGTTCAAAAATGATTTTATGAATTTTTTCTTTAAACTTTTTACTTCCAATATACTGCATTAATGATTTGGACATGTTTCAAGATGCATGTATGTACCCTTAAATAAAGTTATTACTAAAAATATAGTTGAACATAAATGTACAACTTGGCCATTTGAAGGATTAAACCAACTGCAAGATTTCAGATACTAATTAACATAACTTAGCTTTTAAATTGCATAACTTCTCTATTATCCTTTTTTTAAAACTACACAAGGAATTTTACATCATCAAATTACTGAAATAAAGTGAAAATATATTTTAAAACCTCCTGTAGTGCCAAATGTTTACCTGATATGCTTGCACCATTATAAATATATTATCAACTCCTACAGCCAAAACAAGGAAAGGAATAACTTCAATGATTATAAGTGTAGCTGGAACTCCAAAATAGCTGAATATGCCTAGTGATGATATCACTGAAGCTAGAACTATAAGAACACCAGTGAGGCCAAGCAACATCTTCGATTTAACCTGCATCATAGACAAAATCAGAAGTACTACTTTGATTAAACATAAAAAATAACAAAATAAGATTCTTATTTTGTATTAAAACAATTAAAATATAAATTTTAAAAATACAATGCAAAATAGACCATAAGAATGAAGTTTTAAAGTAATACAGGTATGTTTCAAATGGGGAAAAAAAAATACATACACAAATAAGACCAGGTGAGTGATACTGCCCCAATGTTATTGAAACATAGGCAAACATAACCATATAACTTATTAGAATAGTAGCTTCATCAGATTGACTTTCTCTGTCTAGCTCATCTTGAATTGATCTCTACAATGCATACAGTATGATATAAATAACTAAAAATTATTAGATTATATATGTAATAAAGAAATCTCTCTCTCTCTATATATATATATATACATATAAATTTATGAAATATTTTTCTGAAAATTTAATACAAAAATTAACTTTTTTTTTTTTTGTTAAATTAAAACAAATACACTCATTATTCAATTTAAAAATAATTCATAAAAAGTACCCTTATTTGAGCAGGATATATCATTTCAGATAGGATTTACAAAACAAATATGAAAATACTTTTTGTAACCACATACTTATCTCTGCTTGAATAAATTACACTACTGAACATTTTTACATAAACACTAAAATGGTACATTTCCCTTAGGTGGATTCAGTAGTATCACATTTGTTACAACACACATGTGAAAGCCAGTGGTACACTTTTTTTTGTTTGCTCCTCTTGTGCGCCGGAGATAAAAATGTTTTTATTCTCTATATTGTTGCCATTGCTCGCTATGAAATTGTTGAGTTTCTAATCAAAAATTCATTAAAGTTTCACAAAATATGAATCAGACAATAAAACAAATTCCAAATTTGGACTTCCAAGTGTCCATGTACAGGTGGAGGACTACATTATTCAAAATTTGATGGCTCCAAGTTTGTTGTTTTTTCACAATGCAAGAAACATACATACATTCATACAGATTCTTCATTATTTAATTTCTTTAAATCATCAAATCATCCACCAAGTATTACTGCCCTGTATTATATACAAAGCAGTAATATTTGATGGAAACAATTTGAAAAGTGATACAACGCTTTTAGTGATTCGATGCAAAATGTGTTTTGAGAAATAATATCCCTTCTGGTCTAAAAAAAGAAAGTAAGCAAGACTTATTTTAATGAGGAAATGAAAAATACCATAACAAAAACATTTAACTTAATAACTAATGGAAAAAAAAAATTGAGCAGAAAGTTAGTTTTTTAAATCCTCTTGATATGATGACAAATGGTTGCAATGTCAATGATGGTAACTGAAATGTTTGGTGATTCATCGCATGCATCCGGCTAAAAGAAAAGTACCAGTAAAACTAATAAAACCACTTAAAAAAGAATTAGAAAGCAAAATTCTAAATGCAAAAAGCAATATTATTTTTCTAATAAATAGACTGCTGTGAGGATATATTATTTATTACTTCTATTATAAAAAAACCTTCAAGAATAGAAGAGTAAAAAAAATAATAAAAAATAATACTCCATGAGGATTAATTCAATTAATTCTCAATAATTGAAAACTTTTTAATTTTATAAAAGCACTTTTAAAAGTTTTAAACTTATCTTGAAATATAATAACTAACAGCTTATCGAGTAGTTAATCCTAAAATAAAAATTAAAAAATAACACAAAAATTAAAATAAGAAATTTTGAATTTTTTTTTATTTTTTTTTTTTAATTTTCAGCAAAAAAAGTTTTTTTAATTATTTCTTTGATGAAATTTTTTATTTTTCCTAAAAACTGTATTCTATCTGGGTTGGTTTTCATTGTTTATCAACAGTTTTTCAATTGCGCTCTCAATATCGTAAAACTGCTGATAGAGCCTTTCAAGTTCAAAAAGTTTTTCTTATAATTTGCAGTGCTTTTTCTAGATTTGACTGATATTACCATATCTTCAATATTAACTATAACACCATGGTTAAAATACTATCATCAATTGTCACATAACTTCCCACTCAGATGCTTGAAATGTTATCTATAGCTTCCAGTTCCACCAAGGCTCTTAATTATAAAAGCCATATTTTCCAAAATAGTTTTTAACTGTCTTTTAAGGGATAGATTCCATGTATTGATTATAGTATGCATGGCCTCTAGCAGAGATATTGACCTATTTATCTCCATCACAATGCTCAGATTTTTCACAAGTTTCAATTCTATTTATTATTTTCGGAACCCAGTTTCTATAATTTGGAATTCTGGATCTTCATTTGAAAGCTTTTAGGAATGTTAGAAACTATATTTGCAGGAAGCGACACAAATGTTTTTCAAGAAAGAAATCAGAGATAAGTGTGCTACATAGTTATCTATATATAAAAGCTATTTTTCATTTTTCAGTTTGCTTTTTCATTTCAAAAGAAAATTAGTTAAAATACTATTATAATCTATAAGGTCTTACTGCTATGAAAAAGGTAGGGCAGGAGATTTGCCAATACAAGAACAGAGAGGAAGGATAACCAATCACACTTAATAGGTTTGTCCCCAAAGGAGGTTCAGAGTTCAACAGCTGAATAGATATCCAATGTGGGATGAATTCCTAGCTAAAGGAATGTCAGACTTCCAAAGAGAAAAAGATAAGTAAAAATTTTTCACCTCAACTTTAGAAAGTCAGTTTGATTTTATGTTATGTGCAGAAGTTTCTAAGTAATTTTAGTTTTATATCAAGCCAGGTCATCATTGTTAAGTTTTGTTTACAAGTAAGAACCTTTGAAATTTATTTTTATATTTTTAATTTATTGAAAAAGCTGATTTTGGCCTAAAGAGTCAGATTTTTGAGAATGAAAGTAAGAAATGTTGGTGAAATTTTGTACAGGATGTTAAAGCAACTATGTACAGTTGATGTAAAGTATAATTGAACATTTTAAAATTCTTAGTCTATTGTGTTGTAAATATGCACTAAATATTGTAATAATATTATGTTTCAAGATTGAAATTTTTATTTTTATAAAAATACAATGTTTGAAGTTAGCTGTTAAACCTTTGATGCGCGGTGTGGTCGCGCCCTGAAACCACCAATTTTTGAATTTTTTTCTCCTCTTCCTTCCGAAATTTTTGAGTGAAAATCAATTGATTACTGATCTTTTACCTCTAAATAACACAAAATGAATACAGAATCATACATGTTTTAGGTCTTAGTACTTCAAATCATATGCCTTTTAAAATTCATTTTCAATGAGACAAAATAACTTCCTTTTATTAATATAAACAACTTTAAATTTCAAAAGTTATTCATCGCACATCATGATTTCTATCATAAAATAGCAACAATTAAACTGCATATATAAAAAAAACCCTATGTATGGCATTTGCTTTGTGGTTTCAGGGCGCGACCACTGCACCACTACAGCATTGTGTCACAATGCTCTAGAGGCTCGGTGGTCGCGCCTTGAAACCACTGCTCTTCACAATGGCTTTTGCTTGCTTCTCAAATAGGAATGTTTATTTTTACCCAGATATAGATAAGGGGTTTTGAAATCACAGAGTTATTTTTATTACTAAACAATTTGTGCACCTGCCCAGTAAAAAGGTCTTTCTTTTCCAGAGACTTTTCTCTGACCTTAAGACACTTGCTCCCCAAGCTAGTATTGTGATTTTATAAATTATTTCCTGTGGTTTAAATTTAATGTAAATATACTTTGCTGTAATAAAAAATAGAAATCGTCGTAAAAGTTTTATTTCAAATAAAAAATTTCTGAATATTTTGGAGACGAAATACGAATCAAATAAATATGAATGGTGAAATGGGAAACGAATGATCCGTACCAAGGCCAAAAAAGACCAAGCCCCCCCCCATTAACATAAAAAAAACCACAAATTTCATGTGCCAGATGAAAATAGAACTAAATAACATGCTGAGACATATACCAGTGAAACTTAGAAGATCCAGGCAGTGTACATTTTGTAGCACAAGGAAGACACCATCATGGAAGAAGATACATGTGCGAAACGTGCAATGTGTGCTCTATGCATGTACCAAAAAGACAAAACATGCCTTTGAACAGTGTCACAAAATAAAGGTGTTCTTTGAAATTAAAAAAAAAAAAAAAAAAAAAAAAAAAAAACAGAGTCTTTTTTTTTCCTTATCCTTATTTTACTGAGATTTTTAATCTATGTAGCCAAATGTCCTTATTATGTAGGTACTTATACTTTCACTGCTATAGAAAAATTACATAAATGTTTATTTTTTAATTTTTTCTGACAATTTAGTTTGTAAAATAATGAAAAAATATATATATTATGCAATTCTTAGATGCATTTTTTCTTAAAATTCGTAAATTTCGTCATTTATTGGAAAAGCGCACGGGAAAAGGTAAGTTTTTTTTTCCTACTACCTAGGTAAGTTTCAAAGTCCTAGACATGCGGTGGTTTCACAGTGCGACCACCACCCACAAAACAACGGGCAAGAGTAGATTTTTTTAAATTCATATACAGTCATTTGCGGTTTTGCAGCTGAAGATGATGGTTCGGTAAAACCATCGAAACTAGTCCTGTGAAAATTTTTTAAATATAACGCTGATTTTTGTTGTTTGACTTCTGAATTAGTCATATACAGTCGTTAATTCGGACACAAGTAATCCGAAATGATCTATAATCCGGACCTCAAAGCTACGAACTTTCTGCGCATACGTCTCATTTACACATGCGCATAGGCGTTTACGAGTGAGCGTAAGACTTTTACGGCTGCGAATATGCATGTGCGCATGCGTGTTTAATGTGTAACGGATGGTATAAGCTAAAGCTAAAATTATCTAATTCAGTTAATGTTGCAGATTGCATTGTTCCTTAATCTTCGAATTGGATCCGGCTTATTATTTTTTGCAGACTGTTAGAGCAATTTTATAAAAGTAAGCTTGAACTTTCGATTATGTCAAATAGAATTTCCGATATATATTTATTAATATGTAAAGGATCTACAAAGCGTAAGTATGTTTCGAAATCAGAAATCTGTTTATCAATTTCACGCCGCGGCGTGCAATGAATTGGAAGTTGATCTGTCAGCACTATCCTTATCTTCAGGGCAGATGTTTTTATTTATTTGGATTATAATTCCTTACTAAATGTAGTATTTAATCTCGATGTACTCTGTCTTTGATATGATTTAAATCAAGTTCCTCGTCATTATAATTTGCTTCCGATAGTGAAGAAAGTGACCAAAGAAGATGTTTAGGCGATAGTATGTTTGAAGCACTACATTCCAGAAACACGCTCGAAAAAAGCAAGAGAACGCTTTTCTGGAGAGTGTTAGGGGAATTTAA